ACCTTTCTTCAACCTTTGACATTGTCGACCACCCTCTTTTCCCTGATTCTCTCTTTTTTCTCAGTTTTTAGCACGCTACTCTCTCTTGTTTCTCAAAACATGAACTCTGGTTTGCTGAAACTTCTCAGTTTTATTGAAAAACTGGACTTGATCGACAGGCAGAACTACAACATTCTGTTTACAACTAGGTGACTTTGGATGAGTCATTTCCTTTCATTTTATGTCTCAGTTTTTCCAATTCAGTTCAATGCCTAAACATTTATTAAACACCTCTTATGATCAAGGCACCATGTTAGATACTAGAAATGCAAAGATAAAAATAAAATAGTTCTTGATCTCAAGGAGGTTGTAATAATGCTCCTGTGATAGCATCAAGGTTGACATTTCCTCTGATAATACAGATTGTAAACCATCCTGTATTCCTATTCTGTGTAACTTTTGTCCACATCCTCCTGTAAGTTTGCTTATGTTTGGGACCCAACCAGTATGCTTGGGACTTTCCTTGAATTCTCCTGACATTGTGTGAATACCCATGGAGCACATGAGCAGTCTAGTGGTTATCTCTTTTTTATTTTATTTTTTATTAATTATTTATTTTTTTATCTCTTTCTTTCAATAAGTGCCCAGGTCATTGTGTTTTTCTGGTCATACATTTCTTTGGAGACATACTTTATATCACTGCTCCTGTGTAATTCCATGTTGTTAATTTTTTGCAACTCTAATGTAGAATATAATTGTATATACTTCTCCAGTGGTTAGCACAATGCCTGGCTCGTTGTAAGCCCTTAATTAATGCTATTCATTCATTCATTCATCAAACACTTTTGGTGAGCACACACCTCCCTGTTTTATTGAGATTAATAATCAGATAGTTAATCTGATTAATAATCAGATTGAGATAATGAGCAGTATTACCTCATAAAACAGCTAGAAACAATGGAAGGAATAATAAGTTTAAAGCAGATAGGCAAGAGACCCAACTAAGCAAAATCATCCTGAAGGGTATTTAAAGATGAAATTGGAAGGAGGACAGAAAACAGATGAAAAAAAGAGAAAGATCTATAAAGATTATTATGAGAAACACTATCAAGGATAATGGAGTTACTACAGTTGTGCTCTTACATAATTACAGATGTTCTTCTTGAGGAATTGGAAATGGGGCCGAAGGAAAAGAGAGGAAAAGCAGCTAGATTAGGCCAAATAGAACAGGGCTCTGTTGGAGTCAAAACAATTTTGATGGCATTGAGGAATAGATTTCTTTTTTTTTCTTTTTAAAAATTTTTAATTTTTTTATAAAAATTTTTTCACTTTTTATATTTATTTATTTTCAGTTTTGAACATTCACTTCGACAAGATTTGAGTTCCAAATTTTCTCCCCATCTTGTCCCTCCCCCCACCCTAGGATAGCATGCATTCTGAATATTCTTTCCCCCAATCTGCCCTTCCTTCTATCTCCCCCCCACATTTTCTTATTCTCTTCCCCTTCTATTTTCCTGTAGAGCAGGATAGATTTCTGTACCCCATTGCCTATATATCTTATTGAAGAATAGATTTTTAAGGTATGTGAGGGAAATGAAAATATTACTGGCATAGAAAAAAATCTTAGATATTATTACATTTATTACATAATGGATTTATGATCTTATTGGTGTGAGTATTCTCTCCAACAATATAGCCTGCAACCTATTAATTCCTGAGTATTATTTAGACTCTTGTCCATCTCTTCCCAAACTTTGCCGTAGGAAGTCCATTCAACATGTTGGAGGCCTTCCTTCCTCAAGTACTGCTTGATAACATGAAAATACCAATGGAACACCTGGACTGTCCATCAGTTATCCCTTGTTCTTACTATGTGACTAGCCTATCTTGTTTCTTTGATTATAAAATTCTTTGATGACATTCTTTGTGGTGTTTCTCCCCTTTGTAATTCCTTGTTTGTAATGTGGTGTACCCTGCTCATACCCACTGCTCATTTTCCCATTTCACCTTGGGTGATACTCAGCTTCTGTGGTACAGAGGAATAAATGCTGAACTGATAGGCATAGACCCTGAAGTCAAATCCTGTGTGACCTTGGGCAAGTCACTCAGCCTCTCTTGGCTTCTGTTTCTTGAACTGTAAAATATGGGGTTCAGACTGGGTGAAATTTAAGGTCCCTTCCAACTTTAGATATATGATCCAAGTTCTACAAAGACTATAGTGTTCTATGACTCTCAGCTGCACAATTACCAGAAGAGTATTTGTCTTAAAAGATGCCTTAGTTTCAGGGACAAATGCAGCATCATTAAAAGAGTTTTGCTATTTTCCAAAGGCAATCTATTCCACTCTCTTCCTGTTTAATCCTGTGTTTGACTCATTATCCATTAGCAGAGTCTCTCCAAGTTATAATTATTTACACAGCAGCTCTATAGGTTGCCCATTCAATGGTATGTCATAGACTCAGCAAAGGGCATTCCTTATTCACTTGGTTTTCCCTGTACGGGTAGCAAGGCCAAACTCTTGGGTAATTACTGATCTCAGGAGTCTCAGAAGCAATTAGAGTATTTCACCATGTTTAGGAATTCTTCTTTGACTTGGGTTCTGTGCTGGGGTCCTTTAGGACAGTGTTGAAGAACTTTACTGAGCATGTCTCCCTGTTATTCTTCATAGCATCATAGATTTAGAGCTAGAAATAAAACAGCATCCAGGGGCATGATTGAAAATGTCTAACAACCTACTTTCTTTAAAAAAAATTTTTTTATTAGTTTATTTTAATTTATCAAAAATCACTTCTATAAGCTTTTGAGTTTTAAATTTTTCTCCCCCTCCTTCCCGCCTCCCTCCCCCAAACAGTATGCAATCTGATATGGGCTATACATATACATTCCTATTAAACATATTTTCACCTTAGTGATGAACAACCTACTTTGTTGCAAAAAAATATGGACACACAACACACTTTTAAGTTTAATCCATGTAATTAACATTTTTTTTCCCATCACTTTCTTAGTCTGGCCAATCAACAAATAAATCAAGTCCTGATTTATAGTGTTTGCTAATTACTGAGGTATAAATGCTCACACTGATAATTTAACAATTATCCAGTTCAAGCTAGCTCCAGCACATCCCTGATCTAGTCTAGCCTCCTTATTTTACAGATGAGGGCACTTAACCATGGAGGTTGAATGACTTGACCAAAGTAATATAGGTACTAAGTACTGAGAGGTAGGATTTGAACTCAAGTCTTATGACTCAAAAGCCAGTACTCTTTCCACTATACCAAACACTGCTTTCTCCTCAGTTAATGTTACTGAGTTATTGAGTCATAGAGGAAGGTTATCTTTGTTATGTATTTCAAGGAATCTTGTATAAGTTTGACATATGCATTGAAGACATCTAGTTGGAGCGAAGTTCTTAAAGCATCATTCTTCTTTAGTGAATAACATACTTTTAATTTTCCACAAATAATAAGCACAGTGAGATTTTGTATTTTCAACATCTTTCAGTTAATTGTGAGGTAGTAAGAGGTATATAGCTCCTATAGAATATTGCGTGTGAAAGTCTATCTGTTCTCTTCTAATACCTTCATCAAGGATGATCCCAATGTATGTGTAGACTATTGTCATAAACATTTTATATAGATAAGAGAGTAGGTATACGGGTCAGTAGCTATTTATATTATCTTGGCTGTTTTTTGAGAGCAATAATAAGGTCTGAAATTTTTTCCATAGCAATAGTGTCTTCCCCACCTTCAAATAATTTCAGAATAAATCCTTTATGTACTCAAAATTGTCTCTCCTGTGTATACATGGCTCAGTCTAGTGACTTTTCTCATTTTTGTTTTTTCTAGTGGCATTTGCACTTCTTTTAAAAGCACAGCAGAGACTGTGATGTTAAGTTCAGATGTATTTTCTCTATTGTCCTTGATGGTAAAGATTTCATTATTAATGAGAAATTTTGCAGATCTTTTTCCATCTTTTGTCTGGTTATTTTCCTTTTCTCCATAAATGGCCTTGGGATAGCTTCCCTTAATTGGGTCTCTTACCAAGTTTTCTTTAAACTCTTCCCTTCCCTCCTTCCCCCTCCCTCCACTGATTCTTGCTGTTTTATGTGGCTGTAGTGCTCATAACCTTCCACCATCCAACTTCATAAAATTTACGAATAGAATTATCTTCTACATCAGTGTCATCTTTAGATGTCATATCTCTCCACATGAAAAGTATTTGTTAAATAAGGTTGTTTTAGGCTTCTTTATTCTCCTCACTGTGGCAAATTAATTTATATTTATTTAATTTCTGTATGAAATTCTTAAAATCTGTGTCACTATCCTTTTTCTATCAATTTTCCATTTTTTTTAATGCTAGTAACTGTTTAAATAGGTTAGGTTGTAGCTATTTTAATCATATGCCATACTTTTAAAAAAGTTTGATTCTGGCTTTGTGTAATTTTTGATATTTGCTCTAACACAGTAAGATAATGGCTTGGCTATGCACAAACCACAGATTCAGGAAAGGCTTCTGTATCATAACCATATTTCCTGTGTATTAAAATAAATTTGATTTTTTTTGGGGAAAATATGATTTGGTGCTCACCATCTATATCACCTTCCAATTTTTGTAATAAAGAAAATATTTATAGTTTTGTTGAGATTATGTAATCTATAGGTATTTAACCTCATTTATTCCTTGTGCCTAACTACATGGTTCAACATATTTTTTCCCATTGTCATTTGTGCCCACCTAAGAATCAGGAAAAATATACATGCACTGATTTGGTATGGAAGGTCTTATCAAGTTGTTTGTAGAATTTCTTGCTCTTTCCATCCTCTATAACAGATGTTGTTACATTACATCTGGGCACAGCAGCATGAGATGACCAAATATCTCGTTTAATGAAGCTTTGTTTTATTTTTTTTTTGTATGTTACTTTATTTCATTGAATATTGTACAGGTCACAATTTGAAGTCATTTCAAAGAACACATTTTATTCCAAAGTATAAATTGTACCTTTTCTTTGTAATTAGCTTGCAAGAGCCCCACTATGTCCAACCTGAGGAGAGTAAGAGAAAAACCAATGAATCTCAATGTCATCAAGTGGTTGTCCATATAAGGGTAAGTTGTGCTATTTTCTTTGGTCTTGGCTTTTCTTTGGTCCTTGATTCATGTCCTCTGTGGATATAACATTTTGGTATCATTCACACTTCCTTGCCTCAGGTCTGACTTCTCTGTGTCCTTGTCACACATCTGGTACTTTTCTTTCTGGCTGTCCATATTATCAGAACAAGAAGGTAACCCTCGACCTTTAAAAGATTTCTGAGCATCTGCATGGTTCTTCTTTCCTCTTGGCCACTCTTCATCTTAGCAATTTGATATCAGTAGTTCCATGACAGAGCCTGTACTTCAGGGTTCAGAACAAGGCAGGACTATCATAATTTGTGTTTTGCACTTTCTTCTTATGCATCAAAAGGTGACCTGGGAAGGATTTCTAAATAGCCACTGATCAATCTTTCCATAAAGCTTTCAAAATCAATTGGGTCAACTCTATCTATCTATCTGTCTATCTATCTATCTATCTATCTATCTATCTATCTATCTATCTATCTATCTATCTATCCAGCCACACACATACATCTATATACATATATGATATAAATAATATGCAATAGATACATGTAGCATATATAATATGGAACACACATATCCATATATATTATGTAACATATATATATATTATGTAACATATATATATATATATATATACATTTATATATATATGTATATATATATGTTCTTCTTTGTTCTCCTATTGATCAGGGCCTCTAGAGATAGTTACCTTGGAAAAATCTTTGAAATTCTGGCCATTTTTACTAGAAACTTAACCCCCCATCAACAATTCTTCATACTCAAGGGAGAACCTATCCTGGACTACAACCTTTTTTCTCCGCTCTGCACTTTTGACAATGGTGTATTTAACCTCTCTAAATACGAAACCAGGCGCTGAGCCAGTCATAGTCCTGTAAATGGATGATCCTTTGCCATGGTTAGATAATATTACGGATGTAAACACCTTCTTGGTGAAAAGCCATTCTTCTTTGTTTTTTGCCCATCCATTTTAGCTAGGCAGTAGGAGATGATTCATTCTCCTGATTTATGATTCCCCAAATCATGCCCTTACTTTGTTGGCCCACTCTTTGAATCTGCACTTTCTGACTCTTGACTTGGAGACCAGACTTCCTGATCTCAGATTTAGCACTAAAGGACCTTCTCGGTGGGAAGTCATTCCTTTGTGCTTCTCTCCCTCTAATTTTAGCTGTTTTAGGAACCTGCTTTTTCAGCTGCCCCTTTGGTTTCTCTAACTTCTCTGATTTTTGTTTTGCTTGGATGAATGGCTTTATTCATTATTCACTATTCGTGATGTCCTTTTATATAACCAGCATTTGGTGGGAAGGGATTAAATATTACCCCACCCTTTAATGGTGATCAGGGAAATGCCCTTTTTTTCTGAACCCTAGACTGCCAATATTTGAAGGAGGCAGAAAGATATAATCCTATCTCAATATTTCTCTTGGAACCTGGAGGAAAGAGTGCCCAGGTTTGGTGGTATTCCTAGGGCCTGTCTCCCCTTGTCTGGAGTTAGTATGCTAGTGGCATGGGTACATTCTTTGGTTCTTCTCTCCATAGAGGTAGGACAGTCCTCAGATCATATGTATCCATCCCACAATGAACAGCCTCTATACCCTTAGACAGCTCACACATACATTTTTATATGTGGGCACACATCTAACTTACAACTATAAAAACATCCTTTGATTTGGCACAGCAAAATGCTTTCTTAAAAGCTATTAGAACAAGAAGTCTCTCAAGTGTAAAGGGAATGGAGCAAAATAGTCTCTGATCATGAGATCGGATGAGTTCTTTAATCAATTTGATAAGCTTCCAAAGTGTGATCATCTGAGAGGCACCTCCAGTATGGGCATGCTCACTTGTACCTTGCTTGATACAACAGAGAAAGCTCAAGATAATTACTTGACTAAGAACCAGAGAACCAGAGTCTTGCAGGAGCTGCCCCTCCCCATAATCTGTCAGCACCAAACTGTGAGATCAGCACATTCTCTTATTCTCAGAATTAGAGAAGACAGAACAGTGCATAGTGCAGCAGATCTATATTCTTGGCTTGGCATAGGGAACCCATGGGCAGTTTTTTCACTCCAAGAGCAATTATTGGAAACTTGTGGCAATATTTAATGGCAGAGGCAGATATCACAAAATTGACATTTTTAAAATTGACAGTTCTCAGATATGAGAGGCCGCAAGTTCAAGAGTTGAGTGATCAGCCTTTCTAGAGAAAGATTTCCTGATGTAACATAATATTTTGAAAAAGAAGAGGATAGTTTACATACTTCCTGCATATCTTCCTTGAAGAACAAAAGGTGTTTTATGTGGACAGTACAGGTCTCCTGGGAAGGGAATAATTTTTTAAACTTAATTTTTTTCGATGAACAAAACCCAATTTTATGTCTTTTCCACTGGTTTCTGTTGAGAGAAAAGAAAAATAAATATCTTGTAACAAATAATCAAGCAAATCAAGTGTAATCAAGCAAAATAAATTTCTGCATTAGACATGTCTAAAAACTATGTGTCTTATTCTAGGTCTAGCACCTCCATGAAAGGAGGTGAGTAGCAATCTTCACAATGGGTCCTCTGGAATTGTGGTTGGTCATTTCATTGATCAGAGTACTTAGATGTTTCAAAGTTGTTTGTCTTTACAATGTTGTTATTATTGTATAAAGTGTTTTCCTAGTTTTGCTTACTTTATTCTGAATCAGTTTGTACAAATCTTCACAAGTTTCTCTGAATGAAGCCAATCTCCTTCATTATTTCTTATAGCACAATCATATTTCATTACACTTATATAGCTTTATTTGTTCAAACATTCCCAAATTGACGGGCACCATGGGGATACTTTGTTTAGCAGCCTCCAAAGTATATGTACCTTCTGGGGAATCTGAACCACAGGGTAATATTACAAATCTTGGAGAAACTGTGTGCGACTCTGTGAGAAAGAAGAACTCACTGGAATGTCAAAATGATTGCCCACATAGCAACCCATAGGTCTATTCAACTACTTTACTTTTCTGTATCTGTTTAAGGGCTCTGATGAGTCCTTTTACATCTAATGCCTTTTCTGTGTGATGAAATAAAAATTGTTCTTTACCCAATCTCCATTATTATGATTGCTTATTATATAAGATCTGTGGACCTGTTTTATCCACATTTGGGGAAATCTACACATTTATCCTAGGAAATTAGGAGATTTTCTTGTAGTAATTGAGGGGAAGGGGAAAGGGAGGATGAATGAGCTAAAGAGAGACAATTACCCTCTTGGGGTCATAACTAGGGAACATCATCCAGAATCTTTGGTGAGGGGTTGAAGTGGAGAGAGCGATAGGGCTAGGCCATAGGTTAAACATGCTTATGTCAAAATTATAAAAATTTACTTGATAGATCAAATAATAACAAAAATAACACCTGACATTTACATAATGCTTTACTTTTATGTAAAGTGCTTTATGACATATCACAAACACTAGGATTCAAAACAGAATGCAAGATGTTAGAAAATAGAGGTGAAGGAGAGATTTAGGTCAAATGATGGGGAAAAATTTGAGGAGAATAAATTATTTTCACCTGAGAAGATCAGGGAAGTTCTGGTGGATAAGAGGGTATCTTAGCTGGGCTTTAAAGAAAGAGAATAATTTCAATGGGTTGAGATGACCAAGGAGCATATTCTTGACATGGGGGACAGCTTCTGCGAATACACAGTGGCAGGATACTGTAGAACAAGATCGGGGAACAGTTAGCTCTCCAGTTTGTCCAAAATGTAAAGTTCATAAAGGGGAGTCATGTGAAATTGACTAGAATAATGCCAGGCACATAATAGACATTTAATAAGTACTCGTTAAGTTGGCTTGTTGACTTGACAAGGTATATAGATTGGCACCAGAATGTGGAAGTCTAAAATGCCAGACAAAGGTGTTGCAATTTATCCTATAGGGAATAAGAAGCCACTGATGGTTTCTGAACAGGCAGGGACATGGTGAGACCCAGTGGGAACCTTATCCTTGGCCAGTGTGAGACAATTCCCACAAAGCTGCTAGGGTAAATTCCAGAAATTCTTAGCTATTGAACTTGAGAATGGATCTCAGTTACTTAAGAGCCCTTTATTTCTCTTGTCAAGCTTCCAGTAGCCTTATATTATCCCCCAGTTGGCTTGAGTCCCCTGTTGCTCTGTTGAACTTATGCAAAAAAAAAAAGTTAAAAAAAAATGCAAATCTCTACAAGATAATATACATCCCCAAATTGGTGAACAGGGAAAACGTAAGAAAGAATAATTTAACATTGACTTCCTGAGCTGAAAAAGATCTCAAGAAGGTATCTGGTCCAGCCTCACCCCTATCCCTTTTTACAAGGCCAAATCTAAAATAAAAATCTGGCACCCTCCTTTGGTAACCTGTTCCGGTAGGTGATGTTCCTTAAGCCAGTTTCTTCTCTCTGAAGAGTATTCCTTCCTTGGGACTGCTTAGTGTAAGTTGCTTAGGGTTCTGCAGCACCCTTCTTTATCACCTTGGTGTTTATTCCCTTCCCCTCTGCACTCACTCCTGATCTTACTCCTCTATTTCTGTATCCCTATCGTTAACTAGAACAAGTCCCAAGTAGAGCCAGGGCCTGACCCTGGGTCCCCAGCTGGTCAGATGAGGGGAGGCTGAAGTGGCCGACAATCGGCCCATTGTATTGCTCTTGTGTTTGGGCAGCCTGAATGCCCCGCACCAAGTGCGATCCAGAGTGTGTCATGCTGTGGCTTGTACTGGGGTGGGAGTATGCTGGAGTGAGGAAGGGGGGGGACCCAGGGTAAGCACTGGGTGGCCCTATATTATGGGTGGGGTACAGGAAGCCTCTTTGTTCCCTAGGGAGTCTCAGCATGATGGAGGTTCCTGAAAGGAATTCCTTGTGCATATCTGTGTTTTGTTGTGTGTGTACACCTCACTATACGTGTGTACAACTTTGTATGCCTGAATACACACACATCCATGTATTTATGTGTGGGTGCATCAGCGTGTCTGGGAGGCAAGATGGTGTGATAGAAGGAGAATTGGATTGTAACCTAATCCATGGAGTGCCACTACCTACCCTTGGGAAAGTCAATTCCCTGGCCTCAGGCTCCCTCACCTGTAAATGAGACTTTTGCAATCATGGCTTTAAAAGATTAACAATGAATTATGTCTTCCATTTGTTCAGTACAATTCAATTAACATTTATTAAGTACCAGGCACTGTGCTAAGTGCTGGGGATACAAAAAGAGGCAAAAGATAGTCCCTGCCCATAAAGGGGCTTACAACGTAACCTGTTGGTAGAGAAATGATCAACTCAAGATGCAGAATGAGGCAGACTTTTCAGAAAGGGTTAGTATTTTTATTGGTGTTGTTTGACTGTACTTCTTTGTTATGAGGGAGGGCGTCAGTTTGGGATGGGAGACGTAGGAGACTACTGGGTAGTGACAGAGATTCATAAAGTTAAAGATAAAACATGAAAAAAAAATTAAATATAAAATGTGAAAAATACAAGGAGAAATAAAAAATTAAAAAGCCTAAATTAGGTAACCTAAACTAACAATTTCATACATAATTCTCTTTTTTGCTTTGCTCTGTATATGGAAATATTTGAACTTGTTGATTGTTAAATTCATAATAAGAAAGATAAGAAAAATAAATTAAATAAGGGTTTTAGATTAAAGTCTCTTCCAGCTCTAAAGTTCTTTGTTCTGTGATTCCCGGCCTTCCCTCTGGGGAATTGCATAGTTGTATCACCATAGACACTCTCCCTCCCTGGTGCTGACTGCCCCAACAAACCTTTATCCTGCCCCTTCCTTCCTTTCATCAGAGTTCCACATTTCTTAGGGAGAAAGGCCATAGGAGCAGTCTCTTGCATTTTACAAGCTGCCACATTTATCATGGGCTTCATCCAACTTTGCCCTTTGTCATGGAGGATACAACAGGCAGAGCTCTAACTTGAATAGGGTGACAGGGTCTTTGCTCCAGAGCACCAAAATTTATGGGGTACTGACCATCCTTATGCTTCTCTAGCTGATTGAAATAACTGAACTAACCACCTTGTCAGCAGGAATTTGTTAAAATAAGAAGCTGCCAGATGCTGCTGCTCTTTCTGTCCAGCAGCTGTGCCCTAGGTGGGCTATGTCCTGCCTCAGCAGGACCCTATTCCCTCTCCTAGCTGTGGCCTCTGCCATAGCCGTTCCAGAAGTGTCCTGCCATCTTTGTATCTCTACCGCAGGGTCTGTCATCCTAAGGCCTGAGGCCTCTTCTCCCTGACCCTTGCCACTAAATTTGTACTAATTCAGGGCTGTAGCCTCGCCTGCTGCTTGCTCTGGGGCGTATTTCTCAGTGCCAGCCCTGGGTACCAGCATTGCTAGTTATGGCTCTGGTCGAGGGCCCCAAGGGTGGCCCTGAGGAAGAGGGAAGATTCAGAGAAAGGGTTTCTGTGGTAACAGGGTTGGGTGGGGAGACGGGACTTAACTTGGGGCTGGGCTTGCTATTTGGGACTGTCCAAACGCAACATTGCAGGGTGCTTGTGGCTGCGGCTGCAGTCTCCAAGTCTGCTCCTTGTTTGTATTCTGGGCCCAGGCTACTTGTTTACTTTGCTGCTTGGGAGATGTATTAGGGTTTCCTCACAGAGCTGATCTTCTGCCAGGAACCAAATAAATACCTAGGTCCGGAAGCCAACCTTACACAGGAAATGTAGGAGTAGGGGTATGAGAGCCGTGCTGAGGCCTTCTCTTTTGCTCTGGGTTAGGCCTCAGGTAGATAAGAGCTCCCAGGAACTTCCTCTGAATATCTTCCAAATACAAGAGCCTTCCCAGGGTGAGTGACCCAGAGCCAAATGCTGGGATTGTAAAATGGATTCTGTTTGCTCTCTTCATTCCCATCCAGGCCAGCCTCAGGCACAACTGGGAAGTGATCAACTTCAACTTTGGGTCCCTCAATCTTCCTACTCTGTACCCCTTTCCTGACCGCTTACCTCCAACTTTGAGGCACCCACTTTCCTGTTACTCTGGGTCTATCTTGATTGATGTCAGGATAACTTCAACTCACAGGGTATTAATTTCTTCACCTGTAAAATTCAAGCAAAGGCTAGATGACCACTTACTGGAGATGCCATAGAGGAAATTCATGCTTCAGATGTGAGTTAGACTAGATAGGCAGTGGGCTTCTTACCAATTCTGGGATTCTCTGATTTTGTGAAAGGTGTTAGATGGTTTCTAAGGTCCCTTCCATCTCTGAAATTTTATAATTTTTGAGAGGCCTAATAAAGTTATTTACTCTGAAGTGTAAATGATTACTAATAACTGAATGTGCTATTACTCTTAGGAGATTTGCATTTTAACAGATAGTAAGTAGTCTTTTAAGCCAAATAAAAATGGTGGAATTTTAGGCATTAGCCATAAAATGGAGGCTATATTGAATTGTGGCTTTTTCAGAGATCTTGAAATCATACTGGGTAGGTGGGTACCCAAAGTTGTACAGTAAATTAATATGAATTCTACCACTAATGTAACATAACATAACATAACATATCATAAGTCAAGTTGATTTGACTCTTGGGACCTCAGTTTCTTTATATGTAAAATGAGGGGGCTGAGCCAGATGATTTTTGAAGGCTTCTGACAGTGTGATATTCCATGCGTCTATAGGCCTATTCTGTTTTCATCTAAGGTCGACCTTGTCCCTAAGTGGAGTGTCTGGCTCATTTCTTGGAGATTGGTAGGGTAGGAGAAGACATGAAGCTGGCAAGTGTCTTTAGTTTGGGAGAGGATCTCATTTTTCCTTTCCCCTGGCCTTTTTGTTAAACCCTTCCTTGATCACCAACTTCCCCCATCAAATCAAATCAAATCAAATCAAATCAAATCAAATCAAATAGAAATGTGAGAGAGAGAGAGAGAGGGAAAGAGAAAGAGAGAGAGAGGGAAAGAGAGAGAGAGAGAGAGAGAGAGAGAGAGAGAGAGAGAGAGAGAGAGAGAGAGAGAGAATCTATTTCTCTTTTCTGTCCTTCTAAACCTTGATTTAGCTCCCCTATAATCCCAGGATACTTGGCCCCCAAGGACAGAGGTTCAAGTTAGCCCTGGTAAGTGAGTTGCACAAAGGTGCCATCACATTTGCCTCCTAAATGAGGGTGAGAGAGTTCCACTAATGCCATAACCTGATTCTCATTAGTCAAGGAGCCCAAACTGGAAATGGATGGACCTCATGCCTGGCTTACTTCTGTCTGGGTTTCTTAATTATTATTTCCCCTGTATCTCTCCAGTGCTAGCACATTCATAAGCCTTGCATTTCTGTTGTTGCTCTGTGTGACTCTGAATATGTGAATCACTTTCTGCTCCTCTGTTTTGCTGGCTATTCAAGACTCTTCCTACCTTTCCAGCCTTTGTATATATAGCCTTTGTACACTGGTCTACTTGTTCCTTGAACATGTCTCTCCATCCCCCATCTCCATGTTTTTGCAATGACTTTTTTCATTCCTGGAATTCTTTGCCTCCTTACCTCTGCTTCTTAATTTCCCCATCTTCCTAAGAGACTTAGCTCCAGCTTTTGCATGAGGCTTTGCCAGTCTTCCCAGCTGCTAATGCCCTTCTCTCTCAGGTTACATCCATTTACTCTGTATATATCTTGTATGTACCTAGTTATTAACATGTCTTGCCTATTCAAATATAGGCCTCTCGAGGGTAGGGACTATTTTTTTTTTGCCTTTATTTGAATCCCCAGAACTTAGTATATAGTTCCTGTCATTTAGCAAGTACTTAAATGGTTGACTGACTGATTAAAAGTAAGAACTTTTGATTACCTATCTTCATTTACATGTAGCACCTGGGGCACACTATTTTGCATATGGGACTCTCTGAAAAACTCCTCAGGTTTATATTGCTCTGTGGGTCCACATCCAGTCAAAACCATAGCTCGTGAGCCCCCACTGATGTGCCTGTAGTCAGCAAAAAACACAATCAGTTCAAAACAAAGATATTTAATGAAACTTATAAGAAAAGCAGCAATAGAAGAGTCTTCCAAGAAACCTAGGACATATTTTACCACAGACATGTTCTGGTTGGGAGGAAGAATGGATATAGATAGGGATTGTTCATGAGGGCATAGCCAACAGGTGTGGCCAGGGCATACATGGAAAACACATAGAGAGAACACGTATCGCCAAGCTACACATACGGATGGATAATTCCTGATGCTACAGGGATGCCACCATTTTCTGGTGATGCCATCATGCTGCTCTGTGCTAGATCTGTAACATCAATTTCTTTTCTGGTGCCTACCTCTGTCTCTCTCTCTTTCTCTCTCTCCAGGGCTTTTCTGATCTCCACTGGATGCATCACTCCATTAGTTTCATGGTTTCTAGTATTCCTTGCTACCAACTCTTGAGTTTCATATCTTCAGGTCCAATTGCCAGCTATCTCATCTTCTTCCGGCTGTGGAACGCTGCCTAGAAATCTACTGTCTTCTAAAGGTAGGCTAACAGTTCTTTTAGAAATAGAGGCTACAAGCCGTCACACCTAGCTTATTACACAAAAGTAAAGGACTGGACTATATGATTCTGTTAAAGCCTACATTAAAAAAACAAAAAGAATTCTTATTTTGAGGTCAGAGAATCTTTCCTACAGGGGGCATGGGGATGGGAAGATTATTGCACTTCTAATTTTGTTTCAGAAATCCATGATGACTTTGACGTCCATGGACCTTCCTATGGATCATAGAGTTGTAAGATTCCTCAGAGATAATTTTATCCAACATCTTTAATTTATATTGTGGATGAGAAAGCTGAGGCAAGGTGGAGTAAAGTGACTTGCCTAAAGTCAGATAGGTCATAAGTAGGAGAGCCAGAATTCAAACCCATGTGTTTTGACTCCAAATCTGGTCCTTCTTACACTTAATTGCAGGATACGGTAGTTTCAGTTTTCTGGCTGCAAAGCAGCTAGGAGGCATCAGAGCACAGAGTGCTAGGCTGGGAGTCAAGAAGATCTGACTTCAAATTAGACCTCACATACTTACTAACCATGTGACCCTGGGCAAGTCACTTAACCACTGTTTGCCTCAGTTTCCTTATCTGTTACATGAGGGGCAATACTAACACCTACCTCCCAAGGTTGTTGTGAAGCTCAAATGATATAATAATTGTAAAGCACTTAGCCTGGCACATAGTAAACACTACGTAAATGTTGTTATTGTTGCTGTTATTATTTCATTCACTATCACTCAGGTTTCTGCCTGGTTCTAGACTTGAGCTGCAAAGCCGTCACCCTAATCCCTCCAAATTTTCTTCTCGTTGCTGTCCAGAATCCCTGTTCCAATGAAGTAAACTGGCTTGTAGTACTGTATACCCAATTTGCTAATCTTGCTAATCCTGCCTTTGATCTGTTGCACCAAAATGTCCAGTGTCTCCCTCCTTAGAAAGTTCATCTTCTCTAAACATTCAGATAAACTTTAGGTTTTAATTCTGACTCTGTCACTAACAAGCTGTGTGACCTTAGGCAAGTCAACCCCCCTTCCCTGGTCATCATAGGATAATTGATTTTTAGATAAGGAAGGGGTCTTGGAGGTCATCTAGGCCAACTCCCTCATTTTATGTATGAGCAAACTGAGACCCAGAGAGGTGAGGAGTAACTTCCCTAAGGTCACATAGCTAGTTTCAAGAGCCCAGAGAACAGTATGGAAAGTGACTATAACTGTGTAAATGAAGAAAAAAGCAAAAAGCAGCTAAATCCTGATTAGTTGCAAGGAATAATCTTGGACCTAGAGATCAGAGTATTTAGCACATGTCAGAGAATTTTAAGGAGGAAGAAGAGGAGGAGGAGAAGAGTGGGCTTAATTGTCTTCATAGAATTGCAAAGTGCCTTTAAAGACCCTGGACTTCTCCCTGAAAGAAAAAGCCCATTTAAAAAATACCAATAACCTACCAGAGGTGCTGTATCAGTACAAGTCACAGCACATGACTGTTTCTGAAGAATTAAAAATGATGATCAATCAGAAGACAATGGAGAGTGGCTTCAAGACATAATGAACATGCAGCTGTGAAGAGCCAGAATGAAGGATGTCACCAAGAAATGTGTGATCAAAAAGATGGGCTGCTCATGGGGTGAGAGAGATCGATAGTTGGTGGACACCATTGGTACCCTCGTGATATTGGGAGAAAGAGAGGAAGATCCCCACCCTGTAGGTAATCTTCTTTGTTGTAGGAAGGAGCAAAAACCCAATACGCTGCCCCCACAGAAGTTAGAGAAGTTTTCTTTAAAAGATATTGAAATCATCCTTGAGATTTGATTGACTCAGGGGACTAAAGGCTCAGGCTATTAACACCATTTCCTGGTAGCCTGAGTACAAAAAATGTTACAAGGATTTCCAGGCACACTCTGATGCTTGGCTGGTAGACAACAATGGGCAGCTTAAGCAAGGGAACTTTGCTCAACTGAATCAACTTGGGGTGCCCTCAAGCCTGGTCAAACATCCTTCTCCTGCTACAGCTAAGTCACTCTCTTTTTATTAACCGTTGAATGACCTATGAGTGTCTCATTTCATCTCAGGATCAAACAAGCTACCAGAAGACTGCTCTGAGTTAGATATAGCCCAGAACACTTGGCATAGTTGCACAGGATTGGAATAAAATGAGCTCATTGAAGTGGGGGGATGGGCATATAGAGAAAGGTCACCCTACTTCCTTCCCACCCCAGATTAGCTTTTATTCTTCTGGTGATGCTTTCAATGATGCCTGTAGAGATGGTGGTTGCTCGCCTCTTGGACATTGTCATTGTTTAGTCTTGTCCGACTCTTGTAGGTAATCTCCTTTGTTGTAGGAAAGAGCCCCACTTGGGGTTTTCTTGGCAGATATATAGAGTGGTCTGCCATTTCCTTCTCCAGCTCATTTTTACAGATGAGGAAACTGAGGCAAACAGGGTTAAGTGACTTTCCCAGGGTCACATAGCTAGTAAGTATATGAGGCCAGATTTGAATTCAGGTCTTCCTGTGTCCAGGGCCAGTGCTCTATCCACTGTGACACCTAGCTGCCCGGCTAATCTTGGAGATTAGAGTTGGTTGAATAGAAGAGTTACATGGTCAGGTTTGTGCTTAAGGAAAAGTGCGTGTACGTACATGTGTGTGTGAAAAAGAGAGAGAGAGAGAGAGAGAGAGAGAGAGAGAGAGAGAGAGAGAGAGAGAGAGAGAGAGAGAGAGAGAGAGAGAGAGAGAGAGATTTGAGGCAGACACCAATTGAGGCTAACAGAATAATCTAGGGTATCTGAATTAAGATGGTAGCTGTGTGAGTGGAGAGAAGAAGTCAAATGTGAGAGATGAGAGGAAGAAATATCAAGATTTGGCAAATGACTGGATATGTAGGATGAGGGAGAGTGAGGAATCCAGGATTTTGTCAAGACTGTGAACCTGAGACACTGGAAGGATGGTGGTACCTTTGAGAGGGAAAGGGAAGTTTGAAAGAGGGGAGGATTTAGGTGAAAAGTTAATGAGTTCAGTTTTAGACATGTTGATTTTAAGATGTCTCCAGGACATCCAGTTTGAAATGTCCTATAGGCGATTGGTGATGAAGGACTGAAGTTCTGGGGACAGACGGGGCTTTAAATGTGGATCTAGGAGTCATTTCCATAAATACGATTTTTAAATCCATGGAAAATGAGGAGGTTACCAAGAGAGAGACTAGAGAAGGAGGAGAGTAGAGGGGCATGTACAAGACAGAACTTTGGGGAAACATTCACAGTTAGGGGGCGTGATGTGGATCATCTGTCAGAAAAGGGAACCAGGAAGATAGAAAGTTGAGGGCTATAGGTGGAGAATGTAGCATATGCTATTGGTTACTTGGTAACTTTGTCTACTTAGCTGTTTTTCTTTGTTACAAGAGTAGGTTCCATTATCAAGGGGTAAGTATATTGAGAAATGGATCATGATGTTTTGAAAAAGCATTCATAAAAACACACGTTCAAGGAAAGATGCATGGTAGGTGGAGGCAGCTTTCAATATATTCTCAAGAATGACTTTTGCATTAAAAGCGGCCTGAAATGTCATTAAGGATGTGCATGGCCAGAAAAGGAGATGGGTCAGTCAGATGTAGTGAGGAGAAGGAAGGAATAGCAAATCTCAACTAGTATCCATCAAATATTGAAAGGATAAGAAGGAAGCCTCCCTTGCATTGAGTAAATCCTTTATAAAGAATTTACAGGAAAAAACATGCATAACTTGGGGTTGCACAGAGCATTTGTAGAGCTTCCCTGCCTGATTCCAGCTGACCACATGTATTAATTAGATTAGCACTTGGATGCCTCAGAGGTGATGGAGCTTCTGGCTTCCTCTACCAGTTGCATGTGACTCAGGGCAGAAGGATGTTTTGGGTGTGAAAAAGTGACCCCCTTATTGGCTACTGAGCAGAAAAAGCCTGTGGACCTTTAAAAGGGAGTGACCCACCCTCAGTTGTCAAGTCAAACCAAGTCAAGTTAACAAGCATTTATTAAGCTTTGTTGTTATTATTATTGTTGTTGTTGTTATTTATTAAACTTTGCTATGGACCAGACACTGTGCTAGGGACACAAAGAAAAGCAAAAACAGTTCCTGGCCTCAAGAAGCTCACAGTCTAATGGAAAGTGGTACTCACTTTCAGAGAGTATTCTTCAAGCTTATCACTGGAAAGGTAAGGGTGGGGAGCTAGGACCTTCCCCCACCTTGGCCATATGGCAACTCCTTCCACATGGCAGTTAGATCAGGGTAACTCTACCAGTTCTTTGTCTGTTTCTTCTGTATTTTTTTCTTCAGAATATAGGTGGAGTGCAATATTGAGATGAATATGTCTTCGAGGCAATCACATGAATTCAAGAGTTGGAGATCTAACCAGTCCATTGGTTGGAGCTGACTGGTGGTAAGGTGAGTTTCTGCATCAGAAAAGATAAACACTAACATGAAACTGGGTCCAAGCCCTGGTCTGGCTTGCCAGAAGATGTAGACCTAGCGTTGTTTGTATAGTACAGAGTCAAGATGAAATATAACAATGCTCACTTAGCATCTTTGAAAATCATTTCATGTTCTGATGTCTTTGTTTCTACTTGAGGAAATCAGTACTGTCATTTGTTTGACTTTCTGTCATTGTGCTTTCAGTATAAGGGTAGTTATTAGCTATTGTATTCTGTTAAGCCTTTCTTTTAATATGACCTGGTGAGAACATTTTGTGTATAGCATTTCTTTTGCATGTAGGAAATACATACCCATTCCATATCCTCTTTACATTATAAATTATATATCTTTCTTCTCCCGACTTTGGGTACAGCTCAGATATGAGCCAAAACCTAAACTTTAATTTTCCCTCAGACCACTGGAGTAGTGGTGTAACAAGGTGAAGAGTATGAGAAAAAGAACCTTGAGTAACTCATGTGATATGATAAGACTTGCATCTTCCCATACTATAAACCCTACAGTTTGCCTGCCAGAGATACAATTTAGTAATAAATGATTTTTAAGTAATACTGGCACTATTTAAAAAAAAAACAACAAACTTCACACAATGGACACATCTCACTTTTTTGCAAAAAAAAATTGGCATAAAATGTGCAATGACTATGAGGTGCAATATGGCATGTCATACAAAAATAGGTACATCTCTCAGATTTGCAATAGTCATGACTCACCTGTTCATTCACCAAGAGATGGTAGCTCAAATTCTTGTCTCAATCCCAGTAGAGCCCACGTATAGGAAATCTAGACCCAGTCTTCTTTGGAGTCTTTGTTTTTTGCTAATCCCCTAGTTGCTTTCCTGCTTTTTCCATATCTGCCTCTATTCTGTGCTATTTGAATCACCTGGATTTTTCTCAGTTCATCAAATTGGCATTTGCTGAGTCTATGGTAAGTCTACTAGACACATATATGGGGAAGAATTCTTAAGGTATTTGAAAAAGTTAGTCAACAAGCATTTATTAAGCACCAAGGAGAACTTCCTTGGGCGGGTTACAATGTGTTATGAGTAAACTCTGAAATTGGAAGAAACCACATCCAATTATGGACGGGTGCAGTTTAATAGTATAGAAATGGTTGTCATCTAGATAAGCTTAGAGGATCTTTATTCCAAATCTTACTTTCACAGATGAGTCTCAAGAATCAGAACAATGCTGTATCTCCCACTTAAGTTCTAGGGCTATGTCTGAGGAGGCAGAGGTGATTTTTCTAGTGCCATTGGCTAGAGCCCCACTGGTGTGCTTCCCCATAAGATTGTCAGTTCAGATTCATTTAGTCAGCTATGCCAATCACATAGTGATTCTGGCTGAGTCCATGACAAATTTGCATGATATAATCTTAAGTGTGATCTCATAGCAGCAAGACAATCCTTTTGCTCCCCCCAAATTGATTCATTGTCCCACTCACCGCAATAATTAAGCCTTCCTTGATGCAGTTCTTTTTCAGGAGTTTTACAGGAATGCCAACCTTTAGAATGATTCCAGTTCTAAACTAGCTGGATAATTAATTTATAGACAACTCTTGAGGCATGGCCATATTTCTTCCGCTTATGTAGTCACAACTCCTGAGAAACTACACTACAGTTCTAAGGGCTTTTCACACTTAGTCAAAAGCTTATGATTGAGAGTGCTTAATTGAGTACTTAAAGTAGAGTAGGATGACTTGATTAAGTAAATTAATAAATTCTATGTTTACACAGTTATTTTATTAAATATCTTTAATTAATCAGTCAATAAGCATCTACTAACCAATTTTTTTGTACCAGGCGCCATATTAGGTGTTTTAGATGTAAAGACAAAAATGAAGCAGTTTTTGCCCCCATGAAACTCATATTCTATCAGGGGAGACAACGTATGTGCATATGTAAGTATACATAAAACAAATATAATTCAGACCCTAGAATGTAAGGTACTAACATCTGAGGGGACTAGAAGAGAGGCCTGCTGTAGAGGTTGGTATTTGTTGTTGTTATTTGTCCTTCATTTTTGCCTTTTTCTTTTTTTGTCTAGGCAATGGGGTTAAGTGACTTGCCCAGGGTCACGCAGCTAGTAAGCGTTATGTGTCTGAGGTCAGATTTGAGCTCAGGTCCTCCTGAATCCAGGGCTGTGCTCTATCCACTGTGCCACCTACCTGTCCTGTCCTTCATTTTTGAAGAGGACCAATGACATCATGGGGTGATATCTTGACTGGTACATGAATTGGATTTGAGTGAAGCAGAGTTGCACAACGTCATCAGCCTCACTCCTTTTTCCAAAGTCATCAGTCTAGTGGCAGGACAAAAGTCAGGATGACTGGCCAAGGCCTGGGATGCAGTCGATGATCTTGGCATCTTCAATGTCTGACCAAGCTCTAAGTGCTCCACAGTGCCTGCTTCAGGTACCTTCATGGCCATTCAAACAAATTATTCTCATCTGCCCATTCCACCAGGGTGATGTCTTCACATGCTTGAGATAGACACCCCCCACCCCCTTAACTCACCAATTGGTTTCAGGCCTGTTGGTTACTCTCAATCTGGTTTGGCCCAACTGCTGAGATGGTTTTTACCAGGGTGTGGCCACTGTGCCTGCTACAGCTTTTTGGAACCACAGGTGAGTGGAGTCTTAAGGAAGTTAAGAACTCCAAGAGGTGGAATGAATGGCGAGAACATTCCAGCATGAGCAAAGGTCAGAAGATAGGATTTAGAGAGTAGTGAGTGAGAGTGAGAAGTTGAGGATACTGCAGTCATGAGCTTAGGGGACTGGGAGAATGGTGATACATTCAGCAGTAACAGGGAAGTTCAGAAAAGGGGTGAGTTTTAGGAAAAGATAATGAGTTTTGCACATGATAATTTTAGAGATATGTGTGGGACATCCAGTATGAAATGTCTAATAGGCAGTAGGTGATATAGAACCAGAGGTCAAGAGAGAGAATATAGTATCTATCTATTGAAAGAGAATTACATCCTTTTAATGATTGGTAAGAAGCAAACATCAATGGATGTTCTTTAAGCTATAGCTTTGAGTGAATAAAGACCAACAGAGTACCTTGAATTTGGGGTAGATTAGATATATAGACATAGATATTTGTATATATGTATATGTATATATATGAGTTATTTGCATAGAGATTATTATTGAGCTCATTGCAACTGATCAGTTTATCAACTGAGAGAGTAGAGAGAAAATAGGAGAAGGCCCAGGACAGAGCCTTGGAGCATACCACAGTTGGTATGACGTGTATGATGAACCACAAAAGGGTTAGTCAGATAGGTAGGGGGAGAACCAAACAACAGCAGTGTCAAAAACCAGAGAGGAGAGTGTATCCAGGAGCAGCAGTCAAGGGCTGCTAAGAGATCAGGAAAGACCATTAGATTTGGCAACTGGATTACTTGTAACTTTGGAGAGAGCAGTTTCAATTGAGTGATATGATATTTGAGTAGAACAGATGTCAGGGGATTGAGATAAGAGTGAGAGAAGTGGCAGTATTGAGTACAAATGCCTTTTAACATATATTAAGTGCTTACTATGTCCTGGACACTGTGCTAAATTCTGGGGATACAAAAAGAGGCAAAAGATAGTCTGTGCTCTCAAGGATCTTAGGAATGATATGATCTAGTGAAGGTTTTTCAGGGCAGGCAGAGACTTGGGAATGTTTTTAAGCATCAGGGAAGGAACTAAAAGATAGGGAGATGCTGAAGATTATTAGAAAGAAAAAGAGAGAGGATGATAACTAGGACAATTCTCTGGAGAAGATAGAAGGGATGGAATCAAAGGTATATATAGGATATAGTGGGAGGCTTGAGAAGACAAGAGAAGGTTTGGAATAGCCATTGTGTAGAGTGGAATAGTAAGTCCATTAGGGAGGAGCAAGAGGATTGTCTTGCTGCCATAATTTCAGAGTTGAACCTATGTCACAGAAATTTGTCATGGACCCAGTCAGCACCATTAAGTGATTTTCTCTGTATCAGTTCAGCAACATTTGAGTAGTAGCATAGAAAGCAAATGATGGGAGAAATCAAGGGTTGGGGTCTGGTAAAGTACGAATGGTGATATAGACCAAGAGTGCGAGAGATTTGTCAAGTTAAAGCGTCACGTTGAAGTGATTCATTAAGAGTTAAAGACTGGAAAGGAACAGGAGAATTCAGAGCAGAAGTAATAGTTTGGGGGTAGAAGTTACAGAAAAATTAATAATGATGATAACAATAATAATAAAAATGACATACGCACATATTTCACTCACTATGTGCCATGTACTGTGCTAAGCATTTTACAAATATCTAGTTTTATCCTCACAACAGCCCTGGGAGGTAGGTGCTAATTATTATCCCCATTGTACAGATAAGGAAACTGAGGCAAACAGAAGTTAAGTGGCTCACCCAGGGTCACACTGATGGTGTCTGAAGCGGGATTTTAACTTAGGGCTTTCTGACTCCAATCCCAATTCTATCCACTACACACCTAGATTCCACTTAAGGTGAAAACAGGTTTGGGAGTAAGTTATAATTAGAGAATTAAATTGTCTTGATTACTGGTAAGAAGTAAACACATCAGTGGGGGCTCTTGAGCTCTTTAAGGATCGTAAGATAAAATTTTACATAAAAGAAGATTTCTTGAGCTTTATTCTTTTAAAGTAAAGGTAAGTCACTTTTACGTTAACCATCAGGAGGTTCTGATTTGAGGTACTGGTGGATGTAAGAAGAAGCTACAAGAAGTGCTGCTTACAGAGGACAGAATGCAGAACTTGAATGGAGCAGAAGTGACAGAAAGATTTTGAAGCACATTTTCTTTTTTTCTTTCTGGGAGCCTGCTGATTGAAAGAGAACCCTTGCTTTGCTGGTTGGTTAGATGCTAGAGAAAGTTTGGGTCAGCTGCATGCTGATTGGAGGAGAGCAGAATCCTACATCTGGGTTTACATCGCTATTGGCGCTTATTGCTCTCTAGTGCCATTTATAGTCTGAGAGACTGAAAACCTGGCAGGAATGCCTCCTTTCTCTTTACTGCCCTCTCCGGTTTGAGAAGG